ACTCCAGCCTGGTCGACAGAGCGATACTCTATCTCAAAAAAAAAAAAAAAAAAAGTTAATACTCTAAACATAAGTTCATAAAACAAACTAAAAAACACTAATTATATGGCCAGACACGGCGGTTCATGCCTGTAATCTCAGCACTTTGGGAGGCCAAGGCAGGTGAATCACAAGGTCAGGAATTCAAGACCAACCTGACCAAGATGGTGAAACTCTGTCTCTACTAAAAACTACAAAAATTAGCCAGGCACGGTGGCAGGCACTTGTAATCCCAGCTACTTGGGAGGCTGAGGCAGGAGAATCGCTTGAACCTGGGCAACAGAGATTTCAGTGAACCAAGATCACGCCACTGCACTCCAGCCTGGGTGACAGAGTGAGACTCTGTCTCAAAAAAACAAACAAACAAACAAACCAAAAAACTAATTTAAAAATTCAGCTGAAAAAACATGCTAAGAAGTGATTCTAATAAATTTAAATGATTTAAAATATATTATCTGTGAACTACAAAAAATACCCACATTATAACATACAGACTTTTTCTTAGCTACTTCTCAAGGGAAGAGCAGAAAAGAAAGAAAGGGTGTTGGTGAGAGAAGGGGGAAAGGAGATTTCTGAAAACGAAACTAATCAGCCACTACCAGAAAAGTACTGACATAAGCGGTTTCGAAACTGTGGAGCAACCACTAGCTTCACCTCCATAACAAAACACGAGCAAGGCAGGGCTCCACAGGAGCAATACAGCAGCTTCGCAAGTGTGAGAAAACACACCTGTTATAGCTGCTCAACTACTACTTCATCAGCACTAAACAAAACCCACAGAGTTCATAAAAACACAATCCCATTCCAAGAAATAGTTTCTACCATACTCCTGAATGTATAAGTGATGAATCTCAAAGATGCAACAAAATTGCTATTTTCCCCTTCTTAGCTACCCATTACACTATTTTCTGATTTTCGTATTTTGGAACTTTATTAAAGTCACAGTAACATGTGCTTTTCTCTGGGTGATATTCCTAAGGTCTTGCTGGCATAAGTCTTACCACTCCAGTGAGGATTTTTTGTTTTTGAGGCAGGGTCTTGCTCTGTCACCCAAGCTGCAGTGTAGCAGTGCTATCATAGATCACTGCAACCTTGAACTCCTGGGCTCAAGCGATCCTCCCACCTTGGCCTCCCAAGTGCTGGGATTACAGGTGTGAGCCACCACGTCCAGCCAACTTGTTAAATAATCTGTATTTTACGATAATTGATCTCACCCTTCATAAACCTTTACTAGGGAGATGTAACTGAAAGACCTCTAGCCTTTATTAAGTTCACTTGTATCGGTAATTAAACTTTAAGAAAGTTTAATTTTCTTTCCTAGGACAAAGCAATACTTTTAAAAAGGGCCAAAGACAGAGGAAAGAAGTGCCATCTTGTTTCCTGTCTTCATCTATTTTCTGTGAAAAACAAAAAAACCCTAGGTAAGAGAACTATAAATCTGGAATAATACCCAATGGAGACACAAAACTAAAAGTAAGTTATGGCTTTATCATTTCATGATTCCTATTTTGAGTTAAACATGAATGAATGCACTGTTTATTCTCTAGAATGGAGGCTTTCCAATAAAGACTTTAAAAGCACAATTCTAATTCCCAGTTATTTTCATAACAAAACTGAAGATAAACACCCAGAGGTGTGGGGGGGGTGGGGGGAGGGGGTGTCAATAAAAGTCTGAAGAGACTCATTAAGGCCTTTTCATGAACCAAACCAAGATGGTGAGCAGGCTCAAGAGCAGGTGGGCTCTGTTTTTGTTAACAGACCATCCAAACCCACCAGAAAAACTGCCGTGTTCACTGTGCTCCCTTTCTCCTTCAGTCTTACTATTTGGAAGGGCTAATAAAGCTGGACTACAAGCCACATGTCCAAAAGACACAAGACTTAATGTTTTGTAAAACTAAAAGCTATTAATATCTTAGCAGCCAACAATTCCAGCTGCAAACAAATGCACACACAACTAAAAGCTGTCTACCTGCAATTTTTAAATGTTAAAAGTTCTGCTTACAAGCATTTCTTACAAAATTTATTTAAAATAGGTCAACTCTATACCTTTAAGATAACAGCAATGATGAAGTAACATCTGTAGAATGCTTTGCCTTAGAATTTATGAACTATAACTTCTCACTAGATTCTCCTAAGAATCTTAGGAAATGGGATAATTATTACCATTATGTTACAGGCCAGTCTGACAGGGTAAATGACTTGCCCCAAAACGCATAACTGGTAAATTGGTGGGGCGAGGATTTGAACTTAGTTTTGTCTGGCTTCCAAAACTTCACTGCATCCTCCTCATACATCTTACCTGATAGTTGCCAGATCTCAAACAAATATGGACTTGGCTATATGGAGTCAACTGTTGAGATGTACTGTCAGAAGAAGGTACAAGAACATCACATGCTTGACAATAGCCAGCTAACCGCTTCTCATCTATGGTACAATGAAGAGATAATGAACCTATCTGTAAAGTAAGAGGTATACACCATTATCCATTCATGTAATATAAACAATAGTCTAGCACCCCCTTAGCATATTTTAACAGTACAAGGAAATGCTAATGAAAAATTCAAGCCAGGCTGGGCACAGTGGCTCACGCCTGTAATCCCAGCACTTCGGGAGGTCAAGGCTGGTGGATCACCAGGAGTTCGAGACCAGCCTGGCCAACATGGTGAAACCCTGTCTCTACTAAAAATACAAAAATTAGCCAGGCGTGGTGGCAGGCACCTGTAGGCCCAGCTACTCCAGAGGCTGAGGCAGGAGAATCGCTTGAGCCTGGGTGGTGGAGGTTGCAGTGAGCCAAGATGGCGCCACTGCACTCCAGCCTGGGTGACAAAGCAAGACTCCATCTCAGAAAAAAAAAAAAAAGAAGAAGAAAAATTTAAAACTGGAGGAATCAAAAAGCAAAAGGTTAAAGGTTTAGAACAGGGGTCAAAAACTATTGCTCATAGGCCAAATCCAGCCTATGGTCTGTTTTTGTCTGTCTCTTGGGCTGTAAACTATGCAAAGGGGACAAAAAAATAGTAAGAATATGCACTAGAGACTGAATGTGGCCCAGAAAGCCTAGAATATTTGCTAACTGAATATTTGCTAACTGCCCCTTTACAAAGAAAGTTTGCTGAAGCTTAGAGTTTTCAGGCCAACATACAAAAGGTGGCCATGTTTATCATACCAAGTAGGTATGACAAGACATTAACAGAGTGTTAACATTAAAAACAAGCTTAAAGGTTTTAAAAGACATATACCAGCAGAGATTTAAAGGAGAGAGCAAAGAAAGCATAATCATCACTCAATTGGGAAGAACAGAAATGCTTCTACCCAAACAGGATTTAAAAAAAAAAGTTTGAAAAAATATGTAAGTTTTAAATTACTATACCTGAAATGCCGTAAAATTAGAAACCAGATGAATTTCCTAGGCAAAGTAAAATGGGGATTTCTAACAGGTCTATCTAGAATAGCTAGAGTACTTAAACCTCTAGGGTATTTAATCAATATCTCTACTAAGAATAGCAGATTGAAGTGGGAATTTTCCCAGGCACCAGGTATACAAAAACCTAGTTATAGATATATACTTTACAATTCAGTCATCTGAATCATAAAAAGAAAAATGCAAATGAAAAACACAGTAAAAATGTTTACCCATATTAGGAATTAATGAAAGGCAAGTTTATAAAAGATACTGTATTTCACGTATCAAGTTAGCAAAAAAAAAAAAAAATTTGTTAAACTCACTGCTAACTGAAGTGCCCTATGAGAAATTTACCTGGAAAGTAATTTGGTTTAATAAATTATAGCCTCAGAAAAATACATAACCATTGACATGGTAATAACTGTAGGAACTTAAACGTATCTGAAATCTGAAGAAAAATTTAGGCTTCAAGATACAAATACTGCAGCTATATAATAAACAACCTAAATGCCCAAACATAAGGGAAATTAGGTAAATCGGAGTACTTCCCCATAACATGATACATTTATAATGCCTAGTCAAAGATTTAAGCAAGATACAGAGTATTTACAATATGAGCTTAACTGTACAAAAACAGAGAGAAAAAAAACTGGAAGAAAATTTACTAGATTTGTAAAAGGGGTTATATTTCCAGATTATATTATTACAGATTTTTAAAAACCAGTTTTAGTACTTTCTTGAACTTCACACATTTATAATAATGAACATGTTTTTATCATCAGAAAAATCAAAGCCAAAAAAATGTATAGATGTTTTAAAGAACTGAATATTAAGTGCCTATTATGACTGGATTTACCTCTGCAATTAGTTCTTTGGTTCTAAAAAATTTTTCCCTGGCATTTTCATAGACAGCTGAATTTGTGGAGCCTTGCTGGAAGTATGCTGCGCCCAAATCATAGCACACCTGAAATAATAATGAACACCGAGTTGCTTAACAATTTCTCAGGTACTTAAGAGCTGACAGAACCAAAACTGTATCTCATGAAAACACAGAAGAAAAGATATAAAAAAATACATATTCCAAGGAGCAGTGCTACCATCAGTGTTCTTAGTCACAAGCAACATAAACCAACTCTGGTCAATTTACGCAGAATATTGATTTACTGAGTAGATTTTAGGTTGCCTACAGAATTGTTAAAAAGGCTAAAGAATCTGTCTAGAAAAAAGGGCAGGGGAGGCATGCAGTCAGGATGACAGCCAACACTAGTCTAGTGAAGAATCTCAACAGTAGATTCCACAGCTCCTGTCACCTGTAGCCACCAGGACCAGACCCTGAAAGCAGAAGTTACACTCCTGCAAGTGCTGTCCCCAGAAACTAGATTTTACTGTCACTGTTGCCGCTACCCACCACCACAATGGTTTCTCCATCACCCTCAATGCTATGACTTACTAGGACTAGCTCCTGATTCAGTCTAAAAGAAGCATACCCATCTGTTTGTAAAACTTACGTGATATGCCTGCCCTCAAGCCAGATAAGGCTAGAGAAAGCTAGTATTGGGAGTTTTTAGTTTATTCTGTAAGAAGCAGGCTCTGCCTCCCGCAAGTCTGAAAAGAACGGGAATTCTTTTAACACAGGAGAGGGGGAAAAAAAAGCTGAGGAGCCCCTCAAAAGTGAAGATGATGCACATCTACTATAACATACTGGTTAAATTGAGAATTGTAGGCTAACTATAAAACTTTTCCAGTCGTGTGTTTCTATGACAGAATTTGTATGTAAGATGTGGACACTAGGCAAAAAAGAAAATAATTTGTATGTTTTTCAAAAAGCTTATATTGACACCCGGAATTACCGAATGCAAACCTCAAAAGACTCAGATTATTTAGTTTAACTTGGCCATTTTATGGATAAGAATACAAAGGCCCAGAAAGTGACATGAAAAGCATATAACCAAGTAGTGGAACAGCCAAAGTTTGAACTCAGATTCCTAAGCTCGTAATATTCTGACTCGAATTTATTCTACACATGGCTGACAGATCAAGTCTTCTTGATCCGACTAAGAAGTCTTCAATTATTCCCCAAAACAGAAGAAAGTTCAAACTCCTTGGCTTGATCTCTAAGGATCTCAGAATCTGGCCTAATCTCTCTTTCCAAACCTCTCTACTGCGCTCTATTTCAATCACACCAGCCTTCCCAAGTCCCCATTCACATGAGAGCCTAGAAATATGCTTCATTCCACACCCCTCACTCCTTTTATACCACCAAACCAACCTTTGGCAACAGATACTTACTCCTCTTCCAAACCCCTAAGCTATAATCATGCCTGGTATTCATCATGAAACCACTCTTCACTGATTTGCTTTATAAATATGGTTCTGTCCAATTCAATGAAACCAGGTTAATTCTCCTTAGCTTCTACAACATTGCTTTGCACTATTTAGTCCACACTACATGTTTGGCCTTTTTTTTTTTTTTCTGAGATGGAGTTTCACTCTTGTCACCCAGGCTGGAATGCAATGGTGTGATCTCGGCTCACTGCAACCTCCTCCTTCCGGGTTCAAGCGATTCTCCTGCCTCAGCCTTCAGAATAGCTGGGATTACAGGCACGTGCCACAACGCCTAGATAATTTTGTGTTTTTCGTAGAAATAGGATTTTGCCACATTAGCCAGGCTGGTCTAGAACTTCTGACCTCAGGTGATCTGCTCATCTCGGCTTCCCTTGGCTGATTTTCATTCTAGAGAGTTTCCTCATTTAGCATAGGGATGCTAAAAGAGCAAAAAATACACACATACATACACACACCCCCATGCACATATATGCATACTTACTATAGTTATATGTAATTCCCGTTTCTAGGCAAAGATAGACCGCAAAATACCAAAAAGATATTTTCAAGTATTACTCTAGCAACTGACTAGCCATTACAATGAGTTTAGAGGTTAAGAAGTGGTCAATAGATTTACTATAAAAACAAAAAAGCCTGATAATGAAGCTGCCCTGAAGGGCAATAAGGCCTGGTTTTACTGGGAAAAAAATAACAATTTTTCTTTTTAAGTCTAAGGTAAATTTTAGCATTGTAAAGAACCTACTTTAAATATGATCTGGTGACTAACACCTGTAATCCCAGCACTTAGGGAGGCTGAGGCGGGTGGATCACCAGAAGTTGGGAGTTTGAGACCAGCCTGACCAACACGGAGAAACCCCGTCTCTACTAAAAATACAAAAATTAGCCAGGCAAGGTGGTGCATGCCTGTAAACCCAGCTACTTGGGAGGCTGAGGCAGGAGAATCATTTGAACCCAGGAGGTGGAGGTTGCGGTGAGCCGAGATCATGACATTGCATTCTAGCCTGGGCAACAACAGTGAAACTCCATCTCAAAAAACAAAAAATTATCATGCCAGGGAATGAGTGTTACCACTAATTTGCCTTTCAAAACACAGGAATTGTCACTCAGCTATGTCAGTAAAAGAACATTTGATAGTTTACCTAGCACACACAGATGTTTTATAGGAGTTTTGATTTCAGGTTGTATCATCCACCATATTGTGAAAATCAGAAGTGTCACCAACTACTTTTAAACAGGTTCTGAAAGATTATGAGATACTAAGTACCAGTAACACTCCTATATGCAAGTTTCATCAGTGATTTTAAAAGGTTACCAAGTATCCTGTTATCCCAGCACTTTGGGAGGCCGAGGTGGGAGGGATCCCTTGAGCCCAGGAGTTGGAGATCAACCTGGGCAACATAGGGAGACCCTGTCTCTATCAAAAAAAAGAAAAAAAAAAAAAAAAGGTTACAAAGTATCAATTCATTACTCTTACTACTGCTGCAAACTCCAGCTCATCCGGCCTTGAATAAATGGTTACCTTCAGCTCTACAAAAAGCTAATCTGCAAAGGCACCTTCCCAAAACTGTCCTAACTATTTTTACCCCTTTCCAGAAAAGGAATTAGTGATAAAAGAAGCCATGCTAACTCATACGAATAAGGAAAGATAATACATTTTAGAAGGTAAAATCCTAGTAGCCCTCTCTAGGCAACTGAATACTTTAAAATTTTCATTTTACTAAAAGTTCTATTCTAGAAAGTAAGATGCAGAACATACCAAAAAAAAGATGTCAAGCAGTTCATAATCCAGTAGGGAAAAAAGATATAAACACATAATATAATATGTGACAACGAGCATCAGCTGAAAGCTGTGAAAGGAACTAGGGGCCCAGAGTTAGAGAAAGCGAGCAAACTTAAGATCCCTGAAAAGCTAGACACTATCTCTTGAGGTCTAGATTTTTCAAAGTCTAGCACAATATTAGTTTTTATTTTCTTTTCGTCTATTAGATTTCTAATCATATGAATGAACTGTAAATCAATTACATATAACTGTATTCTCAGTACTTAAACTCTGTCTTCTAAACACAATCCGGAAACTATTTCAGAGACAACAGATGACATAAAATTTCCCTTCCATTTCTTTTAGAAAAATGTCAATTCTTATAAATGTATAAATTAAATACAATGCAGTTTTAACAGCATCTTAAGAGACAAAGGCAGAAATAAATTCTAATTAAAAATAGGAGGATGATCTCATATTAAGATTTTCCAAGGCCGGGCGCAGTGGCTCACACCCGTAATCCTAGCACTTTGGGAGGCCAAGGTGGGCGGATCATGAGGTCAGGAGATCGAGACCATCCTGGCTAACATGGTGAAACCCCGTCTCTACTAAAAATACAAAAAAATTAGCCAGGCGTGGTGGCGGGCACCTGTAGTCCCAGTTACTTGGGAGGCTAAGGCAGGAGAATGGTGTGAACCCAGAAGGCAGACCTTGCAGTGAGCTGAGATTGCGCCACTGCACTCCAGCCTGGGCGACGGAATGAGACTCTGTCTCAAAAAAAAAAAAAAATTTTTACCAAAAAATTGCCCTACATAAATTAATATCAAATGAATACCTGGCACTGCATTTCTTCGGTTTTGACTTTCAATCCAGCAGTAGAACTCTCAGTTTCTCCATTTACCATGCCTGGTTCCATAGCCAATAAATCTAGAGTTCTCATCGTATGGACATAAAGATCCTTGTTTAATTTTAGGGCTGCTTCCAGTACCAAAATAGAATCAGCGGCTTGTTCTTTCAGCTACAGAAATCAATAAAAAAAAAAAATACAAAAATAGCAACTGATTATAATAACAAAAAATATTTACAGTCTATTTAGTAGCTCAGTACACTAAGCTATTAAAAAAAAAATTTAACACAGCAAGAATACAATTAAATTTGTTGAAATAAAGTTACCTTAAATGAAAGAAAATAAGTTTCTATTGTGAGGTTAGAAAATATAAAAAACAGGAGGGCTCGGCATGGTGGCTCACACCTATAATCCCAGCACTTTGGGAGGCCAAGAGGGGCAGATCATGAGGTCAGGAGTTTGAGACCAGCCTGACCAACAGGGTGAAACCTCGTCTCTACTAAAAATACAAAAATTAGCTGGGCATGGTGGCACACACCTGTAATCCCAGCGACTCAGGAGGCTGAGGCAGGAGAATCGCTTGAACCCGGGAGATGGAGGTTGCAGTGAGCCAAGATCACGCCACTGCACTCCAGCCTGGTGACAGAGCAAGACTCCGTCTCAAATAAAAAAAAAAAAGAAAAGAAAAAGATAATATAAAAAACATGAAAGACTAGTATCTTTTTTCTGTAGAAAAATTAATACTTTAGGTCGGGGGCAGTGGCTCAAACCTATAATCCCAGCACTTTGGGAGGCCGAGTGAGGCAGGAGAATCATTTGTGGCCAGGGTTCAAGATCAGCCTGGCCAACACGGCGAAGCCTGTTTCTACTAAAACTACAAAAATTAGCTGGGCGTGGTAGCGTACACTTGTAATCCCAGCTACTCGGGAGGCTGAGGCATGAGAATTGCTTGAACTCAGGAGGCAGAGGTTGTAGTGAGCCGAGATCATGCCACTGCACTCCAGCCTGTGTGACAGAGTAATATTCTGTCTAAAAAAGAAAAGTTAATGCTTTAAAGATTTAGCTGGTGGCTGTGCACAGTGGCTCACGCCTGAAATCCCAGAACTTTAGGAGGCCGAGAGGGGCAGATCATGAGGTCAGGAGATCGAGACCAGCCTGGCCAATATGGCGAAACCCTGTCTCTACTAAAAATACAAAAATTAGCCAGGCATGGTGGAGCACACCTGTAATCCCAGCTACCTGGGAGGCTGAGGCAGAAGAATTGCTTGAACCCAGGAGGTGGAGGTTGCAGGGAGCTGAGATCGCACCACTGCACTCCAGCCTGGGTGACAGAGCAAGACCATCTCAAAAAAAAAAAAAAAAAAAAAGACTTAGCTGGACACAGTGACTCATGTATGTAATACCAGCACTTTGCGGGGTCTGAAGTGGGTGGAGCGCTTGAGTCCAGAAGTTCGAGACCAGACTGAACGACATGGCAAAATCACATCTCTACAAAAAATACCAAAATTAGCCAAGTGTGGTGGCACATGCATGTAGTCCCAGCTACTGGGAAAACAGATGGGAAGATCACTTGAGGCTGGGAGGTGGAGGTTGCAATGAGCCAAGATCAGGCCACTGCACTGTAGCCTGGGCAAAAGAGTCAGACCCTGTCTAAAAGAGAAAAAACTTGCACTGTTCCACTTGATTTGTTCAAGGAATCTCTGTATGCTTCATTGTGCCAGCCATTTTATTAGGAACTAGATAATAACAATGAAATGATACAGGCTCTGGCTTCCACATTCAAAATACTACAGCATATTTGCTATAGTGAGATACAGATCGTTTCTTACCTTTTTCTCTCCTCACCCAGCCCCTATACCTCACATGGTAATCTGGAACATTGTTGGTGCTAATTACAGAAATTATTTCTAAATTACAGAAACTGTCAGGTTTCTAATTTTCCATTATGTAGATCAATTTAAAAATAACTGCTAGGCCAGGTGCAGTGGCTCACACCTGTAATCCCAGCACTTTGGAAGGCCAAAGTGGGCAGATCACTTGAGGTCAGGAGTTCGAGACCAGCCTGGCCAACACGGTGAAACTCCATCTCTACTAAAAATACAAAAAATTAGCTGGGCCCAGTGGTGGCACATGCCTGTAATCCCAGCTATTCAGGAGGCTGAGGCAGGAGAATTGCTTGAAGCCAGGAGACAGAGGTTGCAGCGAGCTGAGATCGCATCACTGCATTCCAGCCTGGGCAACAGAGCAAGACTCTGTCTCAAAAAAATAAAAAATTTAAAAAAAAAAAACCTATTATAAAAGTAATTTTAAAATATAAACTATACATGTTTGTCATAGAGTTTTTGGAAAATACAAAAGAATATAAAGACGTCATCTGTAAAATCAGTTTCTCGTATCTACTAATGTATCATGAAATAGTCAAAAATAGAATCAATCAGTGGTAAAGTACTCTACCATTAAAACTGAAAGTCTACATGTGATTTAGAATACTACCTACATCCTAATAGTAAAAACCTTAATGTCACGGCACTTAGACCTTCACAACTCTCATGTCCCCAAGATTAGAAGATACATCAATACATGCTTTAAAGGCAGGGATCCCCAAACCCCAGGCCATGGACTGGTACCAGGGACCAGGCTACACAGCAGAAGTGAGCAGCGGGTGAGCAAGAGACGCTTCATCTGTATTTACAGCCACTCCCCATCACTTGCATTATGGCCTGAACTCCACCTCCTGTCAGATCAATGGGGCATCAGATTCACACATGAGCGCAAACCCTATTGTGAACTACACATGCGAGGGATCCATCTTGCGTCCTCCTTGTGAGAATTAATGCCTGGTGATCTGTCACTCTCTCTCATCACCCCCAGAAGGGACCATCTAGTTGTAGGAAAACAAGCTCAGGGCTCCCACTGATTCTACATTATGGTGAGTTGGATAATTATTTCCTTATATATTATAATGTAATAATAATGGAAATAAAGTACACAATAAATGTAATGTGCTTGAATCATCCTGAAACCATCCTTGCCCCCCCGCCACATCCGGTTTCATGGAAATTGCCTTCCACAAAACCAGTCCCTGGTGCCAAAAAAGTGGGAACTGCTGCTCTAAAGTTGTTCCTGAAATGTTACTGTGTAACTGATGCCAATACTTACCACTTTCAAAATGTTTTCTGTTAGCTCTTTCTCCTGTTGCATTTGATTCATCCTAAAAGAGAAACAATTGAAAACAAAAGTATCAAAAGTTACTCTCAAGACTAAAAAACTCAAAACTTAAGAGCATCATTCTTGAAAGTCAGGTTCAATTTAAATAAGAGTGTTTCTAATGTTATTTATTTTCATGTTTGAAAAAACAAAACCCTCAACTATTACGACGCTTATTAACATACTAGTATTTTCTCATTTACTTTGTTTGGGTTTTTTGTTTGTTTTTGAGACAGGTCTCCCTGTCACCCAGTTTGGAGTGCAGCGGCAGCCTCAACCTCCTGGGCTCAAGTAATCCTCCCACCTCAACCTCCCAAAGTGTTAGGATTACGGGTGTGAGCCACAGCACCCAGTTTCATCTGCTCAATTTAAGAGCAAAACTTACAACAAAAGCTCATTTGAATCAAGTTAGAAACTATGCTCTCTAGCTCCAAATTTGGGTAAGCTGCCATGTGGAAATTAAGAATCAGGTTTAAAACTCCATCCTCCACTCCCCCGCTTCACTTGACTAGCCTTAAAAATAAAAAATTTAAAGAAAAGGAAACCTCCAGATATGATCAACTTTTGTAATTGTACTCTAATATTTACATATATTAATTTCCCCATATACAAATGTATCTTTTTCAAGACAATTTAATTAAATGAAAAAAATGTCAGGCTGGGTGCCATGGCTCACACCTGTAATCCCAGCACTTTGGAAGGCCAAGGGAGGTGGATCACCTGAGGTCAGGAGTTCGACACCAGCCTGGCCTACATGGCGAAACTCCGACTCTACTAAAAAATACAAAAATTAGCAGGGTATGGTGGCACACACCTGCAATCCCAGCTACTTGGGAGGCTGAGGTGGGAGAATCACTTGTACCCAGGAGGCGGAGGCTGCAGCGAGCCGAGATCGCACCACTACATTCCAGCCTGGGTGACAGAGTGAGTCTCTAGCTCAAAAAAAAAAAAAAAAAACTGTACAAAACAAAAAAAACCTTAGTGCTTTCAGATAAATGGCACAATTCCCAAAGCACTTCCCTTCTTAGAACTCTGTATCTAGCACATTACCTGACTCTCCAGCCCCTCTAACTCCTTCAAACAAACCTTCACACAGGCCTTCTGCCCTCCTATTCCTGTTCTACTTCTTCCATAGCAGAGCTTATTAAAAACTTGCAAACATTTTTGAAACTCTAATGAAAAAAGCGCCAAGTAAGGGTCATAGCCACCAACTTACACACTTAACTGAGGGGGTCCAGGTTTCGCCTGTTTGACTGGAAAACTACTTTGAACAATTGTCCTAATTGCCCTGAAGAAAAGACAGGAAAAACAAAATTTCATACTTATAAATGTCATCTCAATTATTTTTTCAAGTACTCCTTAGGTTTGCATAAATTATCTGAAGCATTAAGTGATAAGTCATCCACATTTTTAATCAGACTGCCTTTCATCTATGCAGTCACAAATTTTCTCCACCATCAGACTCACAGTTCCCAAGATTTGAGAAATCCCTGCAACAGAATGGGTCCATTAAAAGCACACCCTTGAAAGCCACAGTGCAATAAAACAGAAGTTGCCCAACACATTCCGAGTTTCTGAAAACATTTACCATCTATTGTAGAGAAGTACAGCCATGGCAGTGGTCGGAGGTAAAGTGGCCAGATCCATGTCTACATGCTTCGTCCCAGGAGGAACTTTACTGATGCAGAGTAGTTCATTTAGTAGCATATTCAATACTGGAACAGACAAACTTAAAAGGAAGAAGCAAAACGTACATGTTTGCATGTTAATTGTGAAAGAAACACAAAATACATACAGAATTCCATATCCTCACTGAAAATACCTACTTTGTTAAGGAACCACATCTCTGGGTTTAGCTATCAAACGCGAAAAGATTTTTAAAGCTTTTTATTATGAAAAAACGTAAAACACAAAAGTAGACAGAATATAATGAACCCCTATGTACCATCATTTAGCAATTATCATCTGATGGCCAATTTTATTTCATCTCTGCTCTTCCCCACTTCCCAAATCATTTCATCCATAAATATTTCAGAATATATCTCAAAAAATTAACTCTTAATATAAGCACAATATTAATTTCGCATCTAAAAAATTTAGACTTGCTTACTGTCAAACGGCATATCAGTGTTCAATTTTCCAGCTGCCTCATATATACCATACTTCTTTGTACTCATTGCTATCTGTTGCTGTCTCTTCAGTCTGTAACATACAGGCTCCCCTCCTCAGATTAAAACTATGCTTTATGGTGGCGGGCGCCTGTAGTCCCAGCTGCTCAGGAGGCTGAGGCAGGAGAATGGCGTCAACCCAGGAGGCGGAGCTTGCAGTGAGCCCAGATCGTGCCACTGCACTACAGCCTGGGTGACTGAGCGAGACTCCATCTCAAAAAAACAAAATAAAACAAAACAAAACAAAACAAAACACTTTAAAAATTCTAATATTTAATGCTGAAGAATGTGGTTAAAAAGAGGATTTCTGAATACTACTGGTGTGAGTATAAACTCTTTTGGAATGCAATCTGGCAATATCTATGTGTCTTAAAAATGTTTATACTGCATGATCCAGCAATTTAAGGAGCTATCCTAAGAATCCAACTCAAAATACAGATAAATTTATTTTACAGGCAAAGATATTTAAGTCCTGTGACTTATATCAGTGAAAAACTAGAAATAAACTAAATGACTGTCAATTAAGGAACAGTTAATAAATTATCCATACAAAGGAATTATCTCCAAAACATAAAAAAGGGGAAACGTTCATGATACTGCTAGGTGAAAAAAACCAGAAATCAAAACAGTATATAGGATACAATCACAACTTTAAGCCTATGGAGAACAAAGAACAAAAATTACATGGAAATGTTAAAAAAATACTCTCTCCTCCCCCAATTATTTCCCATTTTTTGAATTTTTCCCAACTTCCTATAAGGGATCTTTTTATATTGTGATGAGAAGGGGATAATAAATCATTTTCTAATCACAGCCTTTAAAGTATTTATTTTTAAGAAAATAAGCACTGACTCTAATCAGCTGTTTTAACAGGAGACAGTGATTTATGACCAGTAAAATTAACTCAATTATTCAATAGCAAATCATCCATATTACACATCTATCAATTTTTATTCAGTTTCTTCAGATATGGAAAAGTCACTTGAGAAATTTACAACAGTTTAGGTGTGGATTTTCTCTAGTTACCACATCAAAAGTAATGTTATACTTGCATATTTTATCAAGAACATATAATCTTTATTTTATTTTTTTTCCGAGTATTACTCTATCGCCCAGACTGGAGTGCAGCAGCGCCATCTCGGTTCACTGCAACCTCAGCCTCCTGGGTTCAAGTGATTCTCGTGTCTCAGCCTCCCAAGTAGCTGAAATTGCAGGCGCCCGGCATCCTGCCCAGCTAGGGACAGGGTTTCACCATGATAGCCAGGCTGGTCTCAAACTCCTGACCTCAAGTAATTCGCCTGCCTTGGCCTCCCAAAGTGCTGGGATTATAGGCGTGAGCCAAGGCGCCCAGTCTGTAAGTTCTAAGAGCCAATATCACAAAAGCAGATATAGAAATAAACCAATATATCTAAATAGTACTTCAAATGAAATTTCACTGAAATCTTATATACCTTTTCTCTAATATGTCTAAGTCCCACTTCAAATGTGCAGCAACTTTAAGAGCAAGTAGTTTTAAAATACGATTTCTCTTGTTATCAGGCGGAGGTTGAACTTGGTTTTGTTCATTAACTGAAGGTTTGGAAGCCTGTTCCAAAAACTGAACTATAAGTTGAACTGGTGCAGGATCTAGGATTTAAAATAAAATAAATTCTTAAATTTAAGTTTTAATTATGAAGATACAAAAGGATTCACCATTGGTTTGTTTTTGTTTGTTCTTTTTTTTTTTTTTTTTTTTTTGCCACAAAAGGAATCCAAACAGCTGTGCTGTTAAAATGACTAAGGAATACCATATGTAAGAAGTGTGCTTGGGTGTTAAAGCAGATGAGGAAGAGTGGTAAGGAGGAAGGGTAACATTAGAGTGGAAGAAAGCAAAAAAAAGCACCTCATGGGGAAGAACATAACAGTCATAGATTTCTGGTTCTGCAAATAACCAGTGCCAATTAGAAGAATGAGATACAAGCATTAGAACTACTATTTTGACACTTAATTAGGGGGGGACCTCCATCAAGTGACCTCTCTGCACCTGTTTCCTCCAATGCAAAATAGAAGATACTATCACCTATCTCACAGATTATGAAGATTAAAGAAGTAACAGATGTGAACAATTAAGCACAGTGCATGGCAACCTGAAAGCACTCAACAAGTATCTTTCAAAAGGAATGAATTAAGGGCATCATACGGGTGGCAAAATTGCCTAAGTACATTAACTTCTTACACAGTGATCTCTATCAGTTAAGGCCAGTCTACGAGACTGAACAAGCCATATATAGATTTGGATTTAGAAAAACGTTATCCGAGGAACTTACCTTTTGGTGCCAATACCTTTTTTGAGAATGCCTGGAGTTTTCCTCCTCCGCCCCCATCACACCCATTTAACTGGGCTATTAATCATTATCATCACTATACAAAGCCATCTTGCAAATGTGCAGCAGTTCCTGCTTTCAAAGATTTTCTTTTAATTTACAGCCCAACTTTGGAATAAGAGTCAATAAAATCCCCTCATTGAAGAACAAAATGTTTAAATAAGAACCTAAGATAATAACTAGCGTCAGGATCAGCATCCAACAGCTGATTTCTCCCCGTCTTCCTGAATTTATTCAGCTTGGGGTTCAGTGAAGGAGGGGTCTGGTCAGCCTCCCCGACCCAAGCAACCACAAGACCCGCCTCGCAGGCTCTAAAACCCCAACAGTAAAAAGGTAAATCGTAAAAAGGACCAAAGGGTTTGGGCTGACAGCGCCAAGCCCTCCCCTCCGGGGTTAGGAGAGCCTTTGTTTCGAGCTTTTCTTTGACCTCCACCCGGGCATGTTTAAGGCAAGCGAGGAGCCCGGCCGCAGCTTCGGTGGCCGAGAAGGCGGGGAGCGGATGGAAACCGGGCGAACGGCTCCAGTGGCGGTGTCCCGCTCCCCAGGTGCAGGCGCCGCGCTCACCCGGGCAGGGCTTGCGCAGATGTTTCTCCAACAGTGACTCCTCCAGCAGGAACTCAAACCAGCAGGTCTGCGGCGGGGTGCAGGGCCGGCTGGAGGTGGCCGCCTCCCGGTCCGCCGCCTCCGCGCTCATCCTGCCCCCGCCGCCGCTACCACCAGGGCCGCTTCCCGGCTCCAACCTGACACTTGGATGCGGGCCGGGGCCTGGGGTCTGCGGAATCCGGCGAGAGAGAGGCCGCGCTCCGAACGTCCCGGAAACTCACACAATCCAAAATGGCGGCGCGGGCCAGATGGAGCTGCGAACCTGGATCCGCCTCCCCGCGCCACCGCCGCGCCTTCGGACCAATCGTTGTTCGGGTTGGAGAGGATAGGGGCGTGACTAACCCTCTAACCACGCCTCCTCCCGGTTGCCATAGGAGACGGCGCCGCATAAAGCCGGGTAGCGGGTAGGCTTTCCCTGTTACCTGATAGTTCTCCAGCGAGAATATTTTCTCAATATTTTGAGAAATACGGGCCTCAATATTTTCGTAAAGGCGAAGCGATGGGTTCTAGCTGTGACCCAAGCAAAGTTTATCTCCTGTGCTTTCAATTTCCCCGTTTCCATTTCTGAGATTTCGTCGCACCTGGGTCCTCTCCGCAGATGCTCCCGCTGTCCTGCCGAGAACACCAGCTTCCTACCCGCTTCCTGGACGGATGGTAGCCTACAGTGATATCCAGCTTTGCTGCTTCTCAGGGCTAGCTCCCGATACTTAGAGCCTAGTTGATCCTTTCGATGTCCCCGCTAGAGGCGCTGTTAACCCTATCTTACAACCGTTCTGTGATGTTCTTGTATTTTTCATTAACAAACGATTAAAACTGAAAAAAGATGCATTCATAGATCATGAACACAAGGCCAGCCTGACCAATATGATGAAATCCCGTCTCTACTAAAAATACAAAAATTAGCCGGGCTTGGTGGCGGGCGCCTGTAATCCCAGCTACTTGGGAGGGTGAGACAGGAGAATCGTTTGAACCCAGGAGGCAGAGGTTGCAGTGAACCGAGATCGCTCTATTGCACTCCAGCCTGGGCAACAGAGCGAAACTCCGTCTCAAAAAAAAAAAAAAAAAAATTTTTTTTAATTAGCCGGGTGTGGTGAAACACACGTGTGGTCCCAGCTACTCAGGAAGCTGGGGTGGGAGGATCACCTAAGCCTAAGAGATTGAGGTTGCAGTGAGCTGTGATTGTGCCAGTACACTCCAGCCTGGACAACAGAGTGAGACCCTGTCTCACAACGAGAAAAAAAAAAAAAAGAAGGAAAGAAAAGGAAATCAGTACAGATTAACTTGACATTTTGACATTTATATTACATGTATAAAAATAAGTGTTTTAATTAAGGGAGAGTTCATTATTCCACTACCATCTAATACAATAACAACATTATACAGTTTCATTAAGTCCCAAGGTGCTTTATTTAGACTCAAAAATGTCCTGCCATAAAAGTGTTACAGGTTAAAAAAAAAAAAAAAAAGTATTACAGCACTGAACTCCCCTTTTCAGAGTGGGTAATTGAATACCTGAAGGTTGACAGAGATCTTGAAGTTTATTAAACTTAGAGACCCTCTGTTAGAGGGAGTCATAGCTTAAGACTTCATCAACATTGGAGGAGTCTAATGAACTCGAGCTTCCAGCCAGGCACTCTTGTCCCTCTGATGCAGGGCAGGTGACCCCCCCAAATTGGGACTTCCCCCGGAGAGTTCTTTGCTTTGTCCAGGAAAGAATTCAAGTGTGAGCCAGTGGTAGAAGAGAACAGCCTTATTGAAGTGGCAGTGTTACAGCTCTGTGACTGCCCCTGGAGAGCAGGGCTACCCCACAGGCAGTGCGCTGAGAATAGCAGCTCAAGGCAGTTCTACAGGCATAATTACACCCACTTTTAATTGCATGCAGATTAAGGGGAAGTTTATGCAGAAATTTCTAGGAAAGGGGTAGTAACTTCTAGGTCAGAAGGTCATTACCATGGAATGGGGTGGCAATGCCCAGGTGTTGCCATGGCAATGGTAAACTGACATGGCACACTGTTGAGCATGTCTTACAGAAAGCTGCTTCCGCCCCATCCCTGTTTTAGCTAGTCCTCAATTTGGTCCGGTGTCCAAATCCTGATTGCAGAGTCACATATCACCTCCTACCTCACCTCTGAGCAGTATGTTTGGAGGGTGTCTGTCAGAAGACCCTCAAAACCACCAGTTGCTTCTGCTTTGATGCGAGACACATATCCCAGCTGTGGCCAAGTTTGCTTGCCTGGGTCTGGAGTGACACATCTTTCCCTGTCAGCGTGTGACAATCCTGGTGTGGGTTGAGTGTTCTTGAAAGGTGTCCCAGAATGTCAAAAAGGCAAGGCTTCTTCCACTTGCTATGTCTTCGGCTCTCAGAAACAACAGAGGCAAAAGAAATATTTAAAATTTCTATTTAAAAAGTAATACACTTGGAAAGATACCATCAGGAAAGTGGAATGACAACCCACAGACTAGAAGAAAATATTCGCAAATCATATGTCTGATAAGGGAATTACATCCAGAATATGTAGAGAACTTTTACAACCCAACAACAATACAGTGAGTAAAGGATTTAAATCGGCCAGGCGCGGTGGCTCACACCTGTAATCCCAGCACTTTGGGAGGCTGAGGTGGGTGAATCACCTGAGGTCAGGAGTTCAAGACCAGCCTGGCCAATATGGCAAAACCTCGTCTCTACTAAAAATACAAAAATTAGCCTGGCATGGTGGCAGGCACCTGTAGTCCCAGCTACTCAAGAGGCTGAGGCAGGAGAATTGCCCTGAACCTGTGAGGCAGAGGTTGCAGTGAACTGAGATTATGCCACTACACTCCAGCCTGGGCAACAGAGCGAGACTCTGACAGAGGGAGACTCCGTCTCAAAAAAAAACAGGATTTGAATTGATCATTCTCCAAAGAAGATATTACAAATGGACAACATGCACATGATAATGCTCAATATCATTAGTCATTAAAGAAACGCAAAACACCAGCCGGACGCGATGGCTCACACCTGTAATCCCAGCACTTTAGGAGGCCAAGGCAGGTGGATCACAAGGTCAGGAGTTCAAGACCAGCCTGGCCAAGATGGTGAAACCCTGTCTCTACTAAAAATACAAAAATTAGCCAGGCGTGGTGGTGACACGCCTGTAATCCCAGCTACTCAGGAAGCTGAGGCAGAGAATCACTTGAACCCAGGAGGTGGAGGTTGCAGTTAGCCGAGATCGTGCCACTGTACTCCAGCCTAGGTGACAGAGTGAGACTGTCTCAAAGGAAAGAAAAGAAAAACTCAAATCACTAGCCTGGGCAACAAAGTGAGACCCCATTTCTACAAAAAACACAAAAATTAGCCAGGCATGGTGATACATGTCTGTGGTTCCGGCTACCCTGGGGGACTGAGGTGGGAGGATGGCTTGAGCCTGGGAAGCTGAGGCTGCAGTGAGCTATGATTATGCCACTGCACTCCAGCCTGGGTGACAGAGACCTTGTCTCAAATAAATAAACAAATAGAGCAAAACAAAACTGCATGAAATACCACTTCACACCCACTAAAATGGCTATGAACAAAAATACAAAAATAACAAGTGTTGGTGATTATATGAAATTAGAACCTTCAGGCCAGACGCGGCGGCTCATGCCTGTAATCCCAGCACTTTGGGAGGCTGAGGTGGGCGGATCACAAGGTCAGGAGTTCAAGACCAGCCTGACCAATATGGTGAAACCCCGTCTCTAATAAAAACACAAAAAAAATTAGCCTGGCATGGTGGCATGTACCTATAATCCCAGCTACTCGAGAGGCTGAGGCAGAATCGCTTGAACCCGGGAGGCAGAGGTTGCAGTGAGCGGACATCATGCCACTGCACTCCAGCCTGGGTGACAGAGCAAGACTCCATCTTAAAAAAAAAAAAAAAGAAATTAGAACCTCCATACATGTCAAATGTAAAATGCTACAGCCACTTTTGAAACCAGTTTGGCAGTTTCTCAAAATGTTAAACATAGGCTTACCAGACGACTCAGCAGTTCTCCTTCTAGGTATGTATTCAAGAGAAAGGAGAAAATGTACCCACACAAAGGCTTGAATATTTAGAACAGCAGTATCTACAGTAGCCGAAAAGTAGAAATCAAGGTCTATCACCTGATGAATAGACAAACAAAATGTGGCATACTTATTGTATCTGTTTCACGTGACTGCTGTAACAAATTACCACAAACTTTGTGGTTTAAAACAACAGAAAACTGGCCAGGCGCAGTAGCTCATGCCTGTAATCCCAGCACTTTGGGAGGCTGAGCTGGGAGAGTCCAGGAGTTCAAGACACATCTGGGCGGCATAGTGAGACTTCTGTCTCTACAAAAAAATCAAAATAAAAAATAAGCCAGGGATGGTGGTGTGCATCTGTAATCCTGGCTACGCAGGAAACTGAGGTGGGAGGATTGCTTGAGCCCAAGAGGATGAGACTGCAGTGAGCCAAGATTGCACCACTGCACTCAGGTGGGTGACAGAGAGTGAGAAGGGCCAGGTGCGGTGGCTCACGCCTGTAATCCCAGCACTTTGGGAGGCCTAGGTGGGTGGATCACGAGGTCAGGAGATTAAGACTATCCTGGCTAACACGGTGAAACCCCGTCTCTACTAAAACTACAAAAAGTTAGCCAAGCATGGTGGCGGTCGCCTGTAGTCCCAGCTACTCAGGAGGCTGAGGCAGGAGAATGGCGTGAACCCAGGAGGCAGAGGTTGCAGTGAGCCGAGATCGTGCCACTGCACTCCAGCCTAGGCAACAGAGCAAGACTCTGTCTCAAAAAAAAAAGAAAGAAAGAAAGAATGAGAACATGAGAACAGACTGTGGTCATTCAGACTGGGGTATTTATTTAGCAGACATTTGCTTGAACGAAGTGAGCCTGTCATGTCACTTCATGGAAAACAACTAACACCATTTGTGGCCAATAATAACATTCAATTTGTTTTTTTTGTTTTTTTGTTGTTGTTGTTGTTGAGACGGAGTTTCGCTCTGTTGCCCAGGCTGAAGTGCAATGGTGCTATCTCTGCTCACTGCAACCTCCACCTCTCGGGTTCAGGCGATTCTCCTGCTTCAGCCTCCCGCATAGCTGGGATTATAGGCATGCCACCACCACGCCTGGCTAATTTTTGTATTTTTAGTAGAGATAGGGTTTCACCATGTTGGCCAGGCTGGTCTCGAACTCCTGACCTCAAATGACCCTCCCACCTTGGCCTCCCAAAGTGCTGGGATTACAGACATGAGCCACCGCACCTGGCCAACATTCAAATTTTTAAGTAAAATTAGAATTTTAGAAAACTGTAAACTTGGCAGCTTCCCAATACTTGACAGCTTCCCAATACTTGACAAGACTTTTCTGATGACACTAATGGCGATATTAACAAATGTTGTATATTTAAATGTGTCAACTTTCAGGTGATCATCACAACTTAACCAATCAATATTTTCCTAATATATGGCTAAAAGATTTATTTAAATTCCATGACAAGCCAAGCGCGGTGGCTCATGCCTGTAATCCCAACACTTTGGGAGGCAGAGGCGGGATAATCACTTGAAGCCAGGAGTTGGAGACTCCAGTGAGCTATGATCATGCCACTGTACTCCAGTCTGGGTGACAGAACGAGACCCTGTCTCTTAAAAGTAAATAAATAAAAACTTTCGGCCAGGCATGGTGGCTCACGCCTGTAATCCCAGCACTTCGGGAGGCCGAGTTGGGCAGATCGCAAGGTCAGGAGTTGGAGACCAGCATGGCCAACATGGTCAAACCCCGTCTCTACTAAAAATACACAGATTAGCTGGGTGTGGTGGCAGGTGCCTGTAATCCCAGCTACTCAGGAGACTCAAGCAGGAGAATAGCTTGAACCCGGGAGGCAGAGGTTGCAGTGAGCAGAGATCGTGCCACTGTACTCCAGCCTGAGCGACAGAGCAAGACTCCATCTCAAAACAAAACAAAACAAAACAAAAAACTTCAAGACCGACTGATGAATTGTAATGGAATGGAATTTGAAAAGTTAATTGATATGATTTCAGATTTGAAATTGCAACTAATCTTTAAGAAACGACTACTTTCTCAGGTTTTGGTGAAGAAAATCCACAATTAATCTGAAAAGATTTAAAATACTTCTTTTTTTAACTACTCATCTACGTGAGCAATGCCACTCTTCTAATTTTTAAAATGAAAATAGTTATTTTGTATAAAATTGTATTTGGCAGCATGTAATAGGATTAGTTTTATTTTTATATGATTATTTTATTTTAATTTAAATAAATTAAATATTTTTAAAACTTCTCAGTGTTAAATTTTAATATGGTAAATATAAACAAAGACTCTTTCAGGTGCTTAATAATTTTTCGGCATAACAGGGCCCCAAGACTAAAAAGTCTGAGAAACTATTTTATCGAAGCATGCACATCAAAATCCTTCTGTGCTTGGCTCTGAAGAGAAGGAGGAAGGAGGATAGAACAGAGGTGGGTTAGGGAGGGGGAGAGGAGAGGTGAAGGAGGGGAGGGAGTGGGGGAGGCGGTCACAGGTACTTACAACTTTATCTGTTTTTTTTTTTTTTTTTTTTTTTTTGAGATGGAGTCTCACTCTGTTGCCCAGGCTGGAGTGCAGTGGTGTGATCTTGGCTCACTGCAACCTCCACCTCCCAGGTCCAAGTGATTCTCCTACCTCAGGCTCCAGAATAACTGGGATTACAGGCACGCCACCATGCCTGGATAATTTTTGTATTTTTAGTAGAGACAGGTTTCACTATGTTGACCAGGCTGGTCTCGAACTCCTGACCTCAGGCGATCCACCGCCTCAGCCTCCCAAAGAGCTGGGATTACCGGCGTGAGCCACCACGCCCCGTCTGGTAATTTTTGTGTGTGTGTGTGATGGTCTCTGTCTGTTGCCCAGGCTGGAGTGCAGTGGCATTTAGCTCACTGCCTCCTTGACATCCTGGGTTCAAGTGATCCTTCTGCCTCAGCCTCCTGATTAGCTGGGACCACAGATGAATACCACCATGCCCAGCTAATTTATTTATTTTTTGCAGAGATAGGGTCTTGCTATGTTGCCCCCTCAGGCTGATCTGGAGCTCCTGGGCTCCAGTGATCCTCCTACGTTGGCCTCCCAAAGTGCTGGGATTACAGGTGTAAGCCACTGTGCCCAGCCATGTATTAATGTTTTTAAAGTCCCTGATATCTCCTCAAAACCCATGAAAAATTCTATGGGCTTATAGAAACAAACCATTATGGAGCATTTGTTATATACCATGACCCAGATTAGGGCCTTTATGTGCTCATTTTCTCATTTGATCTTTCAACATCCTAGAAAGTAGGCGTTATGAGCTCACCTTACTGCTGAAGAGGCTGAGGATCAGAGAAGTTATTGTTCTTAAATTTTTTTCTTGGATTTACAACTGTTTAAAAAACAAACAAAAAATCAATAGCACACAAATTTGATGGAACTTTTATTATAATTGTACCAAATCTATAGAGAAATTTGAGAATACAGTAATGAGACTCCTTGTCTAGGAGCAGAATAAGTAGATAAGTAGCTTCCTCAAAGTCTCCCAGAGAATAATGTTGGAACAGGGTTTGGTCCCTGATTTGAGCTTCGTTAAATTGAACCACTGCTATGGTTTGAATGTTTGTGTTCCCCCCAAATTCATGTGTTGAAAACTAGACCATGCACGGTGGCTCACGTCTGTAATCCCAGCACTTCGGGAGGCCGAGCCGGGCGGATCATCTGAGGTAAGGAGTTCGAGACCAGCCTGGCCAACATGGTGAAACCCCACCTCTACTGAAAATACAACTGTCCGCCAGGCGTGGGCGCGGGCACCTGTAATCCCAACTACTTGGGAGGCTGAGTAATGAGAATCGCTTGAAACCGGGAGACGGATGTTGCAGTGAGCCGAAATCACACCACTGCACTCCTGCCTGGGTGAAGAGAGCGAGACTCTATCTGAAAGGAAGGAAGGAAGGCAGGGAGGGAGGGAGGGAGGGATAAAGGCAAGAAAACTAACCCCCAAGGTTAGATGGAGGGGCCTCCTTTGGGAAGTGATTAGATCATGAGGGCAAGATCGCCATGTGGAAGACCTGTATAGAGAAAATAATAAAAATGTTATTCAAAAACATGAAGGATCTAAATAAATGGAGAGGAAAATTCTGCTCCTAGAGAGGGAGTCTCATTACTGTATTCTCAAATTTATCTACAGATTTGGTGAAATGATAATAAAAGTTCCATCAAATTTGTATGCTGTTTGCTTATTTACTTATTTATTATTTTTTTGAGACAGAGTCTTGCTCTGTCACCCAGGCTGGAGTGCAGTGGCACGATCTCGGCTCACAGCAACCTCTGCCTCCCAGGTTCAAGCAATTCTACTGCCTCAGCCTCCCAAGAAGCTGGGACTAACCACCACGTCCAGCTAATTTTTGTATTTTCAGTAGAGATGGGGTTTCACCATGTTGGACAGGCTAGTCTCAAACTCCTAACCTCAGGTGATCCACCCTTTTCAGCCTCCCAAAGTGCTGGGATTACAGGCGAGAGCCACTGTGTCCAGCCGGTTTTTTTGTTTGTTTTTAAAAATAATTGTAAATACATGAAAAAATTTTAAGAACAGTATCCATCCCCTTCACCCAAATATCTCAATTGTTAATATTTTACCATACTTCCTCTCACCCTCTCTCCACAACAACAGCTCCCTACTTCCTTGTATACTCGGTAGAGCGACCAACTGTCTTAGTCCATTTTGTGCTGCTATAATGGAATACCTGAGACTGGGTAATTTCTAAGGAACAGAAATTTATTTCTCACATTTCTGGAGGTTGAGAAGTTCAAGATCAAGGTTTAGCCTCTGGTTCTAAGATGTCACCTTGTTGCGGCGTCCTACGGAGAGGAGGACTGCTGTGTCCTCACATAGCAGAAAGGCAGGAGAGCAAGGGAGAACGAACCACTCCTGCAAGCCCTTTTTTATAGCAGCATTCATCCTTTATGAGGGCAGAGTCCTCACAACCTAAACACCTCCCAAAAGGCCTCACCTCCCAATATTGTTGCATAAGAATAATTACGTTTCCAACACATGAATTTTGGAGGAGGCAAAAACATTAAAACCATGGCACCAACTCATCCCTGCTTGGCCAGGACTGTGTCAATTTTAAAACTGAAAGTCCTGCATTTCGGTAACCCCCTCAGTGTGGGCACACTCTAACCCCAGGCACACCGCCTGTGCAACCACACCCCTCGCCTTGTCCCCAGCTGCTTGGATGCTGCGCGCTGACATCTCCACAAGGAGAAGAAGATGGGAAGGGAAGCTTGTAGTTAATTATCGATTAGTCAAACAGCCTGAAAAATGTCACAAGGCCTGAAAGGTTCTAGAGTGTTTAGCTTTAGATCAAAGAAACACTCACAAATGAGGTGGTAGCAGATTTAGTAACATCATAAGAATTAGTGAAATTCTGGCAAACCCTTTTTATAGTGATGATTATGTATTTGCAGAGTGCCTGGCAAGGTTCATGTGCTGTACATGTTTACATGTTACCACCAAGTAGAAGTTTCTGTTTTATGTTGATCGTAAACCACAGTATCTAATCCTGCTCTCCTCCCTCATGATAGTTTAAAATGTTTTCTCTTACATCCTCCCTGCTTCCTTGTTATTCTGGTAGCTCACAGACTCATTGCCTCTGAAATCTGGGTCTCTACAAAGTATGGCAAACTAGATGAGCTACAGTGAAAAAGTAAAAATAAAAAAGCAGAGATATCACCATTATACAGCCTAAAGATGAAAATTATTTTCACCAAGGACCTCTGAAAATCACACAAATAAAAAATAAACTAGGATGGGCACGGTGACTCATGCCTATAATCCCAGCACTTTGGAGGCTGAGGCGGATGGATCACCTGAGGTCGGGAGATCGAGACCAGCCTAGCCAAAATGGTGAAACCTCATTTCTACTAAAAAATAAAAAAATTAGCTGGGGGAGGTGGCGCACGCCTGTAATCCCAGCTACTCGGGAGGCTGAGGCAGGAGAATTGCCTGAACCCAGAAGGTGGAGGTTGCAGTGAGCCGAGATCGCGCGGCTGCACTCCAGCCTGGGCGACAGAGCAAGAATCTCTCTCGAAACAAACAAAAAACTTGAAATCCATTAATTTCTTTGGGATTTCTTTTTTTCAAAAAATATGCAATACAATTCAGACATACAATTTAAAACTTTATTCAATACATATTTTTGAGGTGGGGGAAACTAGCTGATGGATTCTATTGCCATCTTGTGGCCATTGGGGATAGTGTCCATAGCTACCGGTAATACAGGCTGGCTGGGATCCCTTCTTCCTTATGCTTTCCGGTATGGTAGAAGGAATATGACTTGAGGATTGTGTTTGGAAGTAACTAATTCTTTGTAGAAGCTATCCTGCAACACCTAACTGAATTACATCTTCTTAGGGACTTCCAAAAACAGATCTTTCAAGAGGTAATAAGTGAGTCCTATCAAACATGACTTTTCTCTGCGGTGGTCACTACCTCCTTGGGCAGGTAGGCACCCTGTTGTATGTGGCCATAGAGCTGTGCATCCCCGTCATGGCATTCATCTCACCTCCTTGCAGGTTACCTATTTAACAGCCTCACTTCCCCGGTAGACTCCAAGATCTTGGAGGTTGGGGTGGGGGAGAACAGGATGGTGGTTATATCGTTTACCTAGTACAGCCACTAGTACACAGCAGGCACCCAGTAAATATTTGCTAAATAAATAAATCTTTTATTGAACACAAAGCACCTGCATTTCACATGCACACAATGCTTCCCTATAAACCAGATCTACAAACCTTTATTTAATCTTTGTTTTATCTAACCTAAAGCATTATTGACCTGTTCTTAAGATATTTATGACTCACTGCTATGTTCTAGGTTTTATAACCAGCAATGAACTTAAAGCTTGTTGGGGCTCAGAAAATGATACCCCAAAATGAAGGCCCCAGAGACATAGTTTCTCTCTGACCCTCTCCTGACCTCCTGTCTCTGGACCATCATTCTCCCCTAAGGCTCGCCATAGAAACCAGAACCTCTTTTCCCTGGAGCCAACCATCAAACCTAATAATATGACTCTAACTTCACCCCACCCACCCAATTCTCTGTGTAAAAACTGGCATTAAAACATTATCTGAGCTCCCTTGGTTTTGGGGTTTTTTTTTGTTTGTTGCTTTATGGGACAGGGTCTCACTCTCACCCAGGCTAGAGTGCAGTGGCGTGATCTTGGCTCACTGCAACCTCTGCCTCTGCCAACCTCTGCCTCCCAGGTTCAAGTGATTCTCCTGCCTCGGCCTCCCTAGTAGCTGGGACTACAGGCATGCCACCACCACACACAGCTAATTTTTGTATTTTTAGTAGAGATGGGGTTTCACCATGTTAGCCAGGCTGGTCTCGAACTCCTGACCTCAGGTGATCCACCTGCCTCAGCCGCCCAAAGCGCCCAGCTACTTTGTTTGGTTAAAGGTCATGAGACCCCCATTCTAGAGAGGGTACTGCCCTGTCCCCAGAAAGAAGGAATGCTGCACTGAGAGGCCAAGAAGAATCTAGACAGGCCTTGCAGGGTGTCCCCACTCAGTCTATTACGGTTAAGTCATATTCTTTTTGTCCAATTACATCTCTATACGGCTGTTCATACTTTGTTGAAACTAAGCATACAATAGACAGGTTCCCCGGTATCTTTGGGTCTTCATTCTGAAGGCTCTCATGTCACAAAAAGCTATGATCAAATAAACTTATATGCCTTTTCTTCTATTTACCCGCCTTCTGTTAGTTGATTTTCAGTGAACCTTCAGAGGACGAAGCAGAAGTTTTCCTTGACCTCTACAGCTCTTCCAAGCAGTGTCCATGTCTATACATCTGTCTTTGTGTTATCCATACAGCACCTAGCTGAATGGATAACTGAAGGTAGACCTTATTTACCTAATGGAAGGAACAGGTGTGTCCTTATTGCCATAACTTAGCCAGAGCAGAGGTCATTCCACTTTCATCTGGCAACCGCCTGCCACCTTCCTTTATAACCTTCTGTACAGTGATTGCTATAGTTTGGATGTTGTCCCTTCTAAATCTCCTGTTGAATTGTAATCCCTAGTGTTGAAGGTGGGGCCTAGTGGGAGGTAATTGGATCATGGGGGTGGATTTCTCATAAATGGTTTAGCACCATCATCTTGGTGTTGTCTTTGCAACACTGAGTGAGTTCTCTTGAGATCTGATTGTTTAAAAGTGTGTGGTACTTGGCCAGGCACAGTGGCTCATGCCTATAATCCCAGCACTTTGGGAGGCCAAGGTGGGCAAATCACTTGAGGTCAGGAGTTCAAGACCAGCCTTAACGATGTGATGAACCCTCCATTAAAAATACAAAATTAGCCAGGCATGGTGGCACATACCTGTAATCCCAGCTACTCAGGAGGTAGGAGCTCCTGAGTAGGAGCTGCTGTGGTAGGAGAATTGCTTGAACCCAGGGGGTGGAGGTTACAGTGAGCTGAGATTGCGCCACTGCACTCCAGCCTGGGTGACAGAGCGAGACTGTCAAAGAAGACAAAAAGAAAGGAAGAAACAAAAAAAAAGGTGTGGTACCTCCCCTGTACTCTCTTGCTCCTGCTGTCACCCTGTGAGATGCCTGTTCCCCTTTGCCTTTTGCTAGGACTGGAATCTTCCTGAGGCCTCCCCAGAGGCAGATGGCAGTACCATGCTTCCTGTACAGTGAACCAATTAAATCTCTTTTCTTTATCAATTACCCAACCTCAATTATTCCTTTATAGCAATGCAAGAATGGCCTAACAAAAAGATAGACAGGCTTGACTGGGGACTGGGCCAGACAGACTCTTCCGTCTCCCTTTCTGCATTGCTGGGGCTCCGTGTGGGGAAGGGCTCAGTTCTTCAGACTGGTTAGTGGTCTGTCACGTACATTCGGCCAGCTGGCATCTAGAGGAAAAGTCACAGGAGCTTTCATTTTAGTCTTTCTTTTTGTTTTTACTTCCAAGTACTAAATGTTTCCTTACACTAAAGGCTTTAAAGCATAAAAATCTCTCTGCATACAGATAAACAGGACAAAATTTCAAGGTGTGCTTTTAGAGTCAGAACTTTCCTGACATTCTCAGTAGGTAGAAAAAAGATTGTCATATTAATATATTATCAGGACACCACAGGCTGTATTTACTCCTGTATTTCCCCATGCTGTTGAAATATCATAATCGTCTGTGGTAGGCACACAGTTCTTAGCAAGCAGTTGACTTCATTCATTATAATGGCATAAGCCAAGTTTCCAAAGTCTTATTCAGACAATTTCAGAATCAGAGCAGATGAAGGCCAGGCACGGTGGCTCACGCCTGTAATCCCAGCACTTTGGGAGGCCGAGACGGGCAGATCACGAGGTCAGGAGATCGAGACCATCCTGGCTAACACGGTGAAACCCCGTCTCTACTAAAAAATACAAAAAACTAGCCGGGCGAGGTGGCGGGCAACTGTAGTCCCAGCTACTTGGGAGGCTGAGGCAGGAGAATGGCGTGAACCCGGGAGGCGGAGCTTGCAGTGAGCTGAGATCGGCCACAGCACTCCAGCCTGGGTGACAGACCCAGACTCCGTCCCAAAAAAAAAAAAAAAGAACACTAATTTAAGGGAATCATATACTTGCTTCCCCCAAACCCCATCGCCCCTGCAGTTTTAGATACAACAGAGTTTGTCTTGGAGAAGACCATTCAACCATGAGAGGCTGGGAGAGGGTTGCAATGATGCGCCACCCAAGAGCTGAGAGTTCCCAACCCCTCAGGCAGAGGCAGAGCCCAGCAGAACTTCCAGGTCGGGTGGGACAGGGATGCCTTGCTCCGTCTGTATTTGTAGCTGTGGCCCAAACTTCCTGTTGCAAACTTCATTTGCATCCGCCCCCATGAAATCAGAAACAATGCGAATATCAGTGCCTCTGAG